CTGACTTATGTCATTACTTTTTTATAATGACAAACAATTCACGCTCGGTAAAAAAAAAGTTGAGTGTGGAGCTGGAGTGAACTTGAACGTGGCTAATCAAGTTTTGGTTTCTGAAAAATAAATGAGTGCAAATTAGTTGTTTGAAGAATTAAATTATTTTCCATAGAAAATTTAGCTAGAAATCAGGCAAAATTTCCACGAATATTAAATCCTCCAAAAATATTGAAAAAAAATTGATCGAATGAAGATTTTAGATATTGTGACAATAAATTAACAATTTTCATTACTTTCTCGTCTGTCGGCTGTGAAGATACGTTTGCTTCTCTCTTGAGAACTAATGGGGGCGATTCAACTGCCTCGTCCATCTCATCGTCACTCATGACTTCAGCTCCGGAGACAATTGTTATTCCATCCATGCTGCTTGTGTGGAGGACGAAAGCATCAAATCGACAGTCAATTGTTCCTTTGACTGCAATTTTCATCCCTGCGATCAAATCCTCTCTAGGGATAAATGTGGCAATGTGGACTGTCATTTGATGAACCTCAGTACAAATTAGACCACATCCGTAGGAGGTTCCATTGGACGTTGTGATGCTCCTGAAATGCTCTTTCAGCCATCCAGTAACCATAACTGGGTCCCGAGCTTCACACACTTCTGCCATCTTGATTGGTCTGTACGTTATTGCGTTATTGCGTTTGTCCCTCCACCAGCTCCATTTGCAATTTTGAAGACCCCCAGGGTCTCAATGGCACTTCCACGTCTAAACTGGAACTCCTTGTTACCGACTGTATCCCCCGATCTTCGATACATTGCATTCGCTTCTTTAATCGTACCTCCCGTAATTTTTAAAATCTGAAAAAAGAAATTTATTTTAGAAAATCAGTTTTCATAAACCTTTTATATTTAATTACCAAATTTTTGTCGCCGTTTCCGAGATAAGAAATATAAAAATGACGATTTGAATGAAAAATGCAAGGTTCAACAAATTTTTTTTTTTAATTATTGAAATTTCATCGATTGCAATTTTTTTTATGGTGATACGGTGTATTGTTGTTTGAATGAGTTCTAACATTTTTTCATTGAATGGCAAAGTTTGTTGATTCAAAGGAAAATATATTTTTAATGTCTTCGATTTAATAATTTTTCAAATCTGCGAAAATGATAATCATGTTTCATTTACGTTTTATATTTTTTCACACAATTTTTGTGCTTGTTCCTCGGACAAGGAATATATAATTGATAATTTAAAAAATTCAGTGGTCAAAAAATTCGGATGGAAAATATTATTTATTAATCAAAAATATGAGGAAAGAACATGACGGGATTTCCCGTGATTATAATTTTTTTAATAGTAAAATGAATGTTTGTGTGAACGAATTAATGAATTTTTTCAGTGAACGGCAATAATTGTTGATGTAAGTCAAGACATTTTTCATGTTCTCAATTCAATAATTTTAAAAATTAGTGAGAAAAGGAATAATTTATAAAAAATGATTATTTAAAATGATTTTTCTAAGTCTTTGAAATTTTCTAAGTTTAATCTGAGAGGTTAAAAATATCGTTTTGCCAATTTGAAAAATTCAGGTTCAATTTTTTAATGGTAGAAAAAATTGTTGATTGAAGATAAGTCATTTTTGGTTGAGACTAAATTATGTGAATCAATTTTTTCATGGTAGAAAAAATTATTGATTGAAGATAAGTCATTTTTGGTTGAGAATAAATTATGTGAATCATTTGCAATACCTGATACATTTTGATCTCGTCATTATATTTCAAGGCGTCATCTCCCCAAAATATGATGCGAACCCTCCTGCCCTCATTGTTGTTCAGTATGCATTTGTAGATCCACTTCGAGGCAGATTTTGGCAATTCTTTTAGTTCTTCTTACTATTATCTACGTATCCAATAATCTTCCTAGAAAAAAAGACAAAATGAATTTCGATGTTCACCGCGTGTCGACGAGAGGTTAGGACGTGTCCATATCACCATTTGTTTAATTTCAGCATATTTTTTTTTAAATACTCACATGAGTGAAGCCCCTGGACTGAAATTGTCAATGGCTTTGGTGGAAGAATATTTAATTTTGGACGATGGCATGGTAATTCATCGATGCACGTTTCACTGAAGCGGTAGCCGGGCCCCGATATGATGCGAGTTGATCGGAAAGAGAACGATGACGATATAGTCCTCCCCAGGAAAGAAAGAACATCAAGTTTTTGCCGGAGACCTCCCCCCATTCTACCGACTCATGCACGGATACCTGAATGAGCAGTGGTGGGGGGTCTTCGACTATAACGCGATGTTCCTTCTTTCCCGGCGAGGACTCTACAATTGACTGAAACGACCATCGTGGCACGTCGGTTTCGGCCTTACGCATACGGTGATTCGATATTTCGAGATATCGATACTTTCTCCTTTTTACGATAGGATTTTGTCACTCATTTATAAGAAAATAAATACAGATCTAATCTTGAAAATAATCGCCGTCACCTTACACGCATTTCTCCCATTTATCGGGCAATTGTCAGATTCCGGCTCAGAAAAAAGATGGTGGCTTTAACTGGATGAAGTCTTCAATGCTCTGCCGGACTTCTTAGGGAGAATAGAACCTGGAGGGTATTCACCAGGTGATGTTGTAGCGCCCGAAAAAGGTGATAGTCAGAAGGCGCAAGGTGTGGTGAATACGCCGCATGTGGGAGGATTTTCCAGCGCAACGTGGAGATAAATTCCCGGGGTTGTTTTGCTGTATGTGGCCGCGCGTTGTCCTGCAGCAAAATTACTTGCCTCGTACCATTACCAGTAAAACGTCTCTTTTTCTCAATGGCATCAGTCGATTTCACCAGTTGGTCCTGATAACGCTTACCAGTGACGGGAAGCGTTCGAGTATCTCATAAGAGATTACACCTTTAGAATCCCACCAAATACACAACAACAATTTTTTCCCATGAATGTTCGGTTTTGCAGTACTCGTTGACGGCTCCCCCGGATAAATCTACGACTTTCGCCTCTTAGGATTGTCGTAAAATATCCTTTTTTTTAATCCCCAGTCACAATTTCATGTAAACAATCATTTTGTTTGAATCTGCTCAGTAGGCACATGGTAATTTCAGAGTGTCGACTTTTGTTTTCTGAGATAAGATGATTGGGCACCCAACGAACTTCCTTCTGTATCCTCCCGATTCTTTTTAAACGCCTAGAACTAGCTAAATGAGTCACTCCGAGAGTATCAACAAGCTCCTGTTGTATTTGACGGGGATTTTTATTGAGTAGGTCGCCCAACTCCTTGTCCTCACCTTTTTGTGGTTGCCCAGGACGTTCTTCATCCTGAAGATGAAAATTTCCATCCCGAAATTTTTTAAACCACTTTTTACAAATACTATAAGATACAGAACTCTCTCCCAAGGCCGAACAAATCATTTCTTGTCCTTCTACAGCCGTTTTTCCAAGACATTTTTCTTTACTATGGTTTTTTGAGGTTGTGTTAATCGGACCATAATTGGACTTGAATGGTTTGATAGCTCACAAATGGCGCTTCAACACGCCCTTTATCGCGGGAAAATTTTTAAATTCAAATAGGTGTTCTAATCAACTTAATCTAGAGGCCAAAAATTAAGGCATACACGTAATATTTTCTATGGAATTTCCTAGGGTCAAATTTTCCAAGTTTTTTTGTTTGATTTTTCTGAGGAAAAGAAAAGAAAAATAGACTTTTTTTATTAAATTTTTGCATGCGTGAAGTATAATATCCTTGACACAATTTCGAATCTTCCACAATCGCATGAACGATGATTGCAAGAAATATTATTGTTGATGTAAAAACAAAAGTTTTGACACAAATAATTCGATGTTTGACTGATTATTTTGTAACCTTTGTATTTTTACAAAAAAAAGAGAACTTGCAGGAATCCCGAATTCACGTTACCAGCAACTGACTCGTTCTTGCCAGACGAACGGTGCTAGGGGGATCAAATCCGGTTTCTCATAAAAAAATCAAATAAAGCCTTTGATTAGCTTGAAAGCCTTTCAACGGAAAGCTCCGGTGAGCGGGAGGTTGCTAATAGAGTAACTGCCTGTACCGGCATGGGTTTTCCGTGGTTTCCCATGCTACTCCTATGTTCTATAGGAGTGCGAATGCGGTACAGTGTGGAATCCACAGCCGCATGTATAGGGGTGAATAGAATGCCGAAATGAGACTCGAAAAGAGGACTCAAAAGGGCGTAAAAAATGTCAGATTGTGGAATACGTTAAACTACCCACGCAGTGCATAAGAACAATAACCGCAGGATACATATGCCGGAAATAGTGTGTGGAGTTTATAGTATGCAATAACTCTTTTCGCCCAACCAAATCTATGTCGACCTTCGAACATCCCGTTTATGGCAGACTAGTAACACACATTTCTGATCATATGTTTTTACTATACATAATTATCTGTTAGATCCTCAATTATTATCTCCTGAATACCGATCTTTCTCATACGTGTATTACAATCGGGAAATTATTTGTTCGACCCATCATGAATCACACTCACTTCAACCAACACTTACGCCTCAAACCCTACTTTTGATTTTTTACATGGTTATTGCACTCGGCCTAGCAATGATTTTCACGTCTGTCGCCATGCGAAGTTGCCCCCCGGATCGAAAGTATAGAAGTGTAAAAAAAAATCAGCTCGAAGTCGGCTTAGTTATGAATGAATTCAGATGTTGAAAATTTTAAACTTAGTTTCGTTGCATATATGGTATCAAGGATAAAATTTGCAGTTCGATACGAAATTTGACTGAGGATTCCAGAACGATAATTGGGAGAATCTACTAAATGCGCACTTCCAACTGTGAAATCTAAATTGTACGGCATTACAGTAAAAAGGTCCCATAATTCAATATTCGTTATCCAGATGGATTTGAATAATTAATCTGTTATTGATGATACTGAAGCACGCCTCCCGTAACGTAGTGTTTTGTGACGTATAGGCATAAGGGACTTAAAATAACTGTACCTCTTGTTTAACTCGACACGCAATATCTTTGCAATCATTCGTCTTCTTAAGGTACCTGAAGACATCTTCAACAGTCCAAAATAGTGGATTGCTATCCAGCTTCCTTGTTTTGGGTCTTCTCTGTTTCTTTTGTCTTTGGATATACTCCACATCATCCTCGGAACCTTCAGACTCTCCATCATCATCGAAATCAGCCTCTCTGTCTCTGTCCCTGTCTCTCTCTTTTTCTTTCTCTCTCTTTCTTCCTTTCCGATTATCGATTTTTTCTGACTTGTCGCTGGTATTCATCCCATTATAACTGTCCGGACTGTACACAAAAATTTCTTTTTCCCTCCTCTCGTTGAACGAACCCCTAGAGTCGTCTGAAGCATTACTTGACCCCACCTGAAAATAGATTTCATTATTTTCTGTCCATAAGAAGTTCACTTAGTTATGATGAAGATAATTTTTACTACTTTTATCACTTATGAAGGGACGATCCCTCATTAGTTTATATGAGCTCAAGGGGCGGAGCATTCTACACCCCCAGATTTTGTAGGCTGTGAAATTCCATACCCGAAAATCGCAAGGATGGAGATACACGGTAGCGTTCGGCCCAGACAAGTTTTGTCTCCGACTGTACAAACCATCTGGCCAAGCGCAACGCGCAACTATACACGACAGAACTTCCCCCTCTACTATCTCTAAATGATCGACAATCGGTATAGTCAAAACGGGACGACAATTCGGAAAATTGTCGTTAGTTAAATTATATAAAACGAATATGAGCTTATCAACGGTGTTACCATTGTATTTTTTGAGTTTACAGTAAAAAAGATACGCGCATAGCAATGAGCTGATATTCAAATTCTCGCGATTCATATTATAAAGTCGGAGAATCAAGTTACAACGTTAGCAGCACCTATCCCATTGCGCCTCACAGCCAACGTCAGTCTTGCCACCAGTGCATTCAAATGCGAGTTGTGATGTTTGTAACGTCCCGACATTGAATTTTATAGATGGCACTATTTATCGGCCATTTTAATCCGCGAGTTTTAAATTATTATTTCAAAATGAATTCGAATAACATCTGAAATTTGAGAGTGTTAAGAAAATGCTCGAATAAAAGACAATGAACAAGGGACGAAAAATAACTTCACGGGCGTGAGAAAAACCGTTGCCAGAAATCGTAAATGTCAACTACTTGAGTTGAGTTTTCAATTTATTACTCTCCAAAATTCGTTAGAGAAAGAGTTTTCCTGAAAATTCTAAACTCAGAGAGAAAATAAACACATCGGTCACGGTCGTAAAATCGTAATATCTCAGTTCTGGGATATTTCGAAAGTTTCTCTGTTTCAAGTGGTCTACACGTGTTTGGGTTCTCCTTTGTTCATTGTATTCCTACGCTGAGGGGCCTGAGACCCCTTAAGATGAAAACTGGCGACGTCGCACGTTTTCCCTTCCTGCCTCTTTTCACTCCCCCTGTTCTCTTTCGGCTTACCCCTCTTCCCTTTCTTCTGGGCCAGGATTGCGCGCGCAACTTTTGGTCTAGTGGGGTGTTCTAAGCCAACCCTTAGATTTAAGAACTAAGATTAAGTCAGTCCCATCGTGGGTGTTGTTTCGACAACTTTCGAGCTTCTCTCTTCAAATAGTTCTCTTAGAGTTTTTCATAAAGTTTTATCAAGTTTATTTGTATACCAAAGTTTAAAATTCTGAATCAGAAGTGATTGAATAAGTGTTAATGAACTCTCCTAAGCACTGGTATTTGCATATATTTCAAAATTACACCCTTAATCCAATTATCCTGGAATGAACGATGGTCAACGAGTCAACTTCGATGGACCTCACCTGAGGTTTAGCGGCTAACGAATCCAAAGTTTGGCGCTAAATATTTGGAAAAGGCGCCACTGTCTATCTAGTAACATCGATAGGACATAACAATTGGTGACAGCGGTGGGATAGCCGCATTCATCGAAAGTGGAATTTGAATTTTTTTAATTCAATTAATTATTTTTCCTGTCAATATCGGGGTCGAGTGAGGAGTTCCGGCAATTCTAGCGCAGAGGTCCCGGGCGGTTGCAGCCAGGCAGTTTACAGAGGATTCATCAAGCAGAATAAAGTGTGAAGTGAAAGCGAAAATTTATGGGCAATTAGTGAATCAACGAGAAAATTATAGTGATAAGTGAAACAATTGGATTAGCCGTAGTTCGTAAAGGAATTGTAAGTCTAGAAATAAGTATCATTTTCGAAGATGAACAAGTCAGGGTATTGCTCAGGTTTTCTGCGGTTTTACTGAGTAGTAGCGGGATACACTGATCGGGCCGAAGCCTTGTCCATGCCTTGTAGAGAGAGCACAAAATTTTCAGTTCAGTTAGTTTTTCTAGAAGAGAGAAGCATCTATTTCGAATCTTAAAATGATTATTTTATTCAGGAAATTTTCCTTTTTAAACTGTAAAATGCCGCCTGTCAGAGGAGCTAATAGGAGAAACACAAGAAGGGGGGAATTTGAACAACCAGGAAATATTAGAGACCCATTAGATTCAGTGAGTGATGTTACGAGTAATGGCACAAATAATTTGTCACAACCAGGATCAGTATCAGGGAATTGAGCAGGTTCGAGCAGCCAAGAATCTCTGCCTTCAATGTCCATCAAAGATATTTCAAACTTGATTCCAAACTTCATAGGAGACAATATCCCAGTAAACAATTTTATCGATTTGTGCAATCAAGCAGTTTCGCTTGCATCACCTTCTTATCACACTTATTTTATACAATTGATAAAATCAACGATTTTCGGTAGAGCCAGCCAATATATCGCAAATCAGACTACTTTGACTCTTGATAGTATTTTTGCTAATCTCAAACCAGCTTTTGCACCTCGCCAAACACTTTCTCAATGGCAGGGGCAACTGGCAATTATTCATCAAAAACCTAATGAAGAAATCATCGATTTTGTCGCGAGAATAAATGTTGTTATTCAGGGAATTACAGAGTTAATTCAAGAGAAATATCCAATTGAACTTTCAGCTTGGCTTTTGGCGACAACACAAGAGGGAGCTCGCGATAATTTTATTCCCGGTTTGAGGGGTGAGTTGAGTTCACAAATTTCAAATGAAAAACCGGTAAATTTCGAAGCAGCAGTCAAGATCGCGAGTGAAAAACAAAAAGAGATTGAACAACGTAACGATATTTTCAAACACGAGCAAAACAAAATTCCAAACAACACACAAAGTCAGGACAATCGCCCCTCTCTGAACAATTCTCGTAATCATCAGAATGGTCATTACAAAAATCACGGGCCGTATAATCCACACAATCGATCACACAAATCAGCTAGAGTAAATGTTACGCAGACTCAGAGTTCAGGTAATACAATGAGAAATCAAACAATCTGTTATGCTTGAAACCGGGCCACATGATGAACCAATGTCACTGACTGCGACATTGGTTCATCATGAACCAACTAATCCAACTAACACAAACCGGGTTATTGTGTTAGTTGCAAAGTGACAGGGCATTCGACACGCAATTGTCGTTATAATAATTCTAGCAATGTCAATCGACAAACATGTCAGTCAAGTTCTCAACACTCCCTCCAATTCGATTAACACCAATCAAACAGAACAGATGACACTCCTGTGTGTCACTATCACAAGTGATAATTTGATAAACATGAAAAATTGACTCCTTGTTGATTCTGGGGCTGATATTAATTTATTGGAAGACAATGCATTAAAACCGGGTATCAAAATTAATCGAGATAAACGCTTTTCATTGAGAGGTATTACCCTAGGGTCAGATGAGACTATTGGCGAAGCTCAAATCACATTTGATTCCGTAATGTGCAAATTTCAGATCATTCGTGCAGATTTTTCCATTAAATATGACGGCATATTAGGTGCGCAATTTTTACGAGATGAAAGAGCAACGCTCTGTTTTTCTGACAGCAGTTTGTGAATAAATGATAAGGGAATCAAAAGTCCACTAATGTAAACTAGAGTGACAGTTCCTGCTCGTTGCAAGAAAAAAGTAGGAATTAAAGTATTGAACACAGAAATAAAACGAGGATATTTACCCCGATTAAATTTGGGAGAGAATCTCTATGGGGGAGAGATTTTAGTAACAAATAACAATGGAATTATGTGGATTTATGTAATAAATTGCAACGAGAAAGAACGAGAATTCAATATTCCTGCTCAATATATTGAGGAAATTGAGAATTATTCTGAAAAACCAATTAAAACCTGTTATGGAATTGAATCAGAATCTGTTGAAGAAAGGATGAAAAGACTTGTCGATAGTCTCCATTTAGAAAACCTCAATACTGAAGAAAGAGAAAGATTCTCAGAATTTTCGCGAAATTCCCTTATCAAGTCCAGCTTCCAGGTGATCGGTTACAGGGTACAAATGTAATGACTCATAAAATTCCAACTATAGATGAAATTCCTATTCCCACGAAACAATACAGGTTTCCTCAAATCCAGAAAGAAGAAATCCAGAAGCAAATCAAGGATTTACTTGCGTCAGATATAACTGAACCCTCTTCTTCTCCATACAATTCCCCGATCTGGATAGTCCTTAAAAAGGCAGACTCAGCGGGTAATAAGAGGTGGCGTATGGTAATAGATTTTTGGAATCTCAATGAAAAAACTATCTCAGATGCCTATCCTCTCCCCAATATTATCGATATTCTGGACCAGTTGGGGGTGCAAAATACTTTTCGGTGTTAGACCTTGCCTCTGGTTTCCATGAAATCCCCATGGACGAGAAAGATAAAATTAAAACAGCCTTTTCCACCCGCAATGGCCATTATCATTATACCAGAATGTCCTTTGGTCTCAAAAACGCAGCAGCGACGTTTCAGCGTCTCATGGTTCAGGTGCTCACTGGACGCCAAGGTGCAGACCTCTTTGCATATCTTGATGAGATTGGAGGATCATTGAGAGAATCATTGAGAGAATCATTGATCATTGAGAGAGATCATCATTGGAGGATCATGAGAGAAAACTCACGAAGTTGTTGAGAAGACTTCGTACAAGTCGTTTGACTTTGCAGATTGACAATGTCGATTTTTGTAGACGAGTGTCACATATTTAGGTCAGATCGTAAGTGATAAAGGCGTGACCCCAGATTTCTCAAAAATAAAATCGGTTCAAGAATTCCCAGTCCCCAAAACAGCAAAGAATATAAAACAATTCCTTGGTCTGACTCGTTATTATTACTGACGTTTTATCCCCAATCTTGCCAGAATCTCTCGTCCATTGACACAATTATTAAAGAAGAATCAAACTTTCATTTGGAGTATTGAATGTCAAAATGCTTTTGAGCACTTGAGAGATCTCTTGTGTTAAGAACTCATACTCCAATTCCCCGATTTTAAAAGGATTTTCATCGTCACAATA